GCCTGCTCTGTGTAACCGAGGCTTGCCTCGGACTTAGGATTGTCCTCTCGTGGCCTTCCTCCTGCCTGATGACAAGCTTGTGCCCTGGTTCTGTGCTTTGTATGCACAGAGTTCATAACAATGTACAAGCCCAAACAAAGCCCCACAGCCTAAAGCAGTTTGGATGAGATTTCCTACACAAGGATTCATTCTCATAAGTGTCTCATTATTTTATTTTGAAGATACAATCTGCGACTGGTTTATATCTCCTTTCTAAGCTAAAATAGCTTTTGTTAGTGATGCTCTGTGGTGTATTCCTTCCGCGTGTGCCCTGGCTTTCTAACTTGCATGTGTGTGCTTGTTCATGCCCTGACATTCTAACTGCACACACGTGCTTGTTTCCTTGTGTTCATTCCATGCATAGTAAGCTCACTAAGACAGACAGTGACTCAGAATCCAAGGAAAGACGGTCACAGTTGCCTGAGAATGAAACTCACTGAACGTGAAAATAGGAATACTTACAAGACGGTATCAATGATGTCAAGGAGATGTTGATCAATACTGTAACACCTCTTCTTTAATGTAGAAAAATAGGCAAGAGTTGCTGCATTTTTGATCAATGACTGCATAGTACTGCTGAGTGGTATTTTGATTTGAAATTGTCCTTTTCATATAATATAATTACAATTTCCCCCTCCCCCAGATCCTCTCTAGCTCCCTACCCAGCCAACTTCATGTTTAGAATTCCCCCTTCAAAACCCAAAATATTAAAAAGCCAAACAAACCAAACAAATAAAAAGCAACAACGCAAAATCAAACAAACCCCAAAAAGTAAACACACAAAAATAGAACTGTTTTGTGTTGACCTGCTGTCCTTGGGCATGGAGCCTTCCCTGGAATGTGGCTGTCAATGTCAGTGACAGTTGGAGAAAATTGATTTTCCATTTATTAGCAAATATCAATTGCAAATAGTTTCTGGGTTAGGGATGAGGTTTTGTGTTCCCTTCCCCTTCTCTGGGACTTTTATCTGCTTTGAACCTGTGAAGGTTCTGTGTGTGTCCTCACAGTCTCTGTGAGTTCATACATGCATCAGCTCTGTTGTATCTGAAAAACAAACAGAAAAAGTCATGTCCTTGGAGTCACACATCACTGCATAGATCCTTGAGCCTTGAGGGGAAGTGTTGACGAAGATACCACATTTGGGGGGAGGACTGGGCTGAGTGCTTCAAAGTCTCTCACTCTTTATGCAGTGTCCAGTTGTAAGTCCTTGTGTTAACTCCCATCTACTGCATGAAGCAGCCTCTTCTGATGAGGGCAAGCAATGTTCTGATCAGTGGGTATAGCAGTATGCTATTAGCAGTCACTTTATTGCTGTTTCTTTAGCAGAACAATACAGTAGGTTTTCCCCTAGGCCCATGACCTATCTAGTACCAGGTTCCTGGCCACCTTAGCAGTTTCAGGTATGGGATCCATCTCAAGGAATGGGCCTTAAATCCAAGCCCAAAGTGGCTGAACACTCCTATAACACACGAGCCACATTGTACCAGTGTATCTTGTATGCATGTCACTGCTGGAGGTCCTAAAGTTTGTAGCTGGGTAATATTAATGATTATTTTTCTCTTCAAATAGAAGGCAGAGGGTGCCATCCAGAACTATGAACTCTAGTCTGTGAAACTTCTGGTTAGCACCGTTTGATTTACATGTTTGATGTTAGTATCTTTAGCAATAGGGCCTAATCATTAGATTATGGAGAGTAACAGATAGATTGGCAATAGCCTACGATGTTTGCATGGTCCATAGGACCCCTTTGACCAACTCTGAGTGATAATTTTACTTACACAAAAAGATACGTTTTGTTCAGTTAAAACATTTCAATGAAAAATAGTATCAATATGCTGTTTGTCACACCCTTGATAATCCAAAAATAGGAGTTTCAAAATCACCTTTGTCCTAGCCCTTCTTCCGTGTCCCTGTCACTTACATGTTGATAAACTCTGGCCACATGGCAACAGGGCTAGGAACAGTCAGAAAGAAAGAGAAGAGTGAGCAGGAGTGTACCAGAGGTCAGAGATGGAAGCACACTTAGAAGACACTGCTGGGGCAGGTGTGAAACAGTGAGTGCCCTGGGCAAGAAAAGTGAGCGGCGGAGCCAGTCCTGGAGAAGAAGGACTTCCACTGAAACATATATTCACTTCAACTAAGAAAGAAAAAAAGGCAGCTTAGCTCTTTCTGAGCTTGTGCACTGTGGCGCAGATAAGTGGACACAAGGAAAGAGAATAAATCCTGGCGGTTTTCAACACAGCCTGGGAGGTTAAACAAGACAGTGCCATTTAAAAACCCTTTCCCCATCGCCCCCGAATAAAAGATAAACAGTTAAAAAGCTCTTAACATTCTTTACTGCCACCCTGGTTGTCTGAAGACCTTTCTTTCTTATCATCATCCACTATCCAAAGAGCAAACACAGGAAAACTGGAGCGTTCTTAACAGCCAAGATACAGTCTTGCTTGACTGCAGCTTATTGCTGGACATCCGTGCTTAGTTCTGTGGGTTTGAATCTGCTAGGACTGGAATGCTTGCACGGTGGTTGGTGATACTTCCCAGACATTTTAGGCATGGTCTGCCTTTGGGTAAATATAATACTGAAAATAAAGGTAAATTACCTTCCATTTCCACTGGCTTGTCTAACAAATAATTGCGTCGTATTTGTTTCTAAAGCATTTCAGGGAATTGCTTGTAGTCTTTGAAGTCTCTGAAAACAAAAGGATGAGAAAGTAGACTTTGGTCTTGGTGAAGGCAAATTGCTTGTTAAGCTTCAGGAAGTGTCCTCAGGTATCAGAGGGTAAACAGGAGCATCTAGAAGCAGTGTCCTGACAGTGCCATTTTCTGTCTTCACTTCTTACTCTCGTGAATCTGTCCTCGCTGTCCTAGGTCTTTTTGTTTGGTGCCTGCCTCTCCCTGCTCACTCAGGCCCCTAGATTGTGTCTTATTGCTACTACTTAAAAAGAGAAAACTCAGGCCAGCTTATGTCTTTCAAACAAAAGGTTTACATAAAAATGTTACCGTGTACATCCATGTGCAGGCTTGAAGCAAGTCCTGAGATGATTAAAATGTCTCTCGACTTTTAACCGCTACATAACCATATTAAAGTCTCCTGGAAGGTAGGTTTTCTGTCCTCTAGGTCATTTTTATGAGAACATTTTCCAGTAACTAAGACATTTGCTTTCAGAAATCCAAGTACATCTCATACTATCCAGCTCTAACCCTCCCCTTAAAGACAGTTTTTCATGTGCTAAGTGCTTTGTAGAGAGATAACGTTGTTCTGGATAGAAACAATGGCAGCTACATTCCCCCAGACATCTGTGCCAAGAACATGTCTCTACACACACACATTAATCCTTGTCTCAGCAACTGCTCCTCCTCCCTCCCACCTTTCCTCTTCCCACTCTTCTGAGATCTCACAGTTCATTTCTGAAACCCCAGCAGTGGATCAGCTTTCATTTTGAACATCTGACAAAGGCAAACATCAGGACTGGGTTCTCTAAACCTTTGGGAGAAGATGTCCTGATGGTCCCTCACCCCACCTGATGGTCCCTCACCCCACCTGATGGTCCCTCAACCTACCTGATGACCCCTCACTCCAGATGATGACTCCTCACCTCACCTGATGGTCCCTCACACCACCTGATGTCCCCTCACCCCACCTGATGACCTTTCATCACACCTGATGACCCCTCACCCCACCTGATGACACCTCACCCCACCTGATGACACCTCACCTGATGACACCTCACCTCACCTGATGACCCCTCACCCCACCTGATGACACCTCACCTCACCTGATGACCCCTCACCCCACCTGATGACACCTCACCCCCGCCTGATTGTTCCCTGCTCTTCGGGCCCCCATAAAAAGTAATCTTCATTTATAACTTTATCTTAAAATTTTTTAATTGACATGAAGAGTTTACAGTTCTTAGGCATTTCTGAAAATGTTCTCTTTTAAACAGGTTTATCAAAGCAAGAAGGGTCTTTGTGGGAGGCCAGCCTGGTCTACAAAGTGAGTTCCAGGATAGCTAAGGAAGGGTACACAGAGAAACCTTTTCTAGAAAAAAGAAGCAAGCAGAGTTCTGTTGCTGGGCTTCTTTGCTTTCAGTCTGGCCTCCTGTGTTATGCTGATGAGAAAGAGGCATTTGAATCAAGTATTTTTTCCAGTTCTGTCAAGCAAGACCAGTGACATTAAGGGTACTATGGAGCTTTGTCATTTAATGAAATAACAGAAAATGTCATTGGCCTCCAGCCCTAAAGAAGTGGCCATTCTTGCATATTTTTCAAACATTTTTATTAAATGTATTCATTTTATGTTATGTGTGAGCGTTTTGCCTACATGTGAGTACGTGCACCACAAGTGTGCCTTGTGCCATGGAGGTCAGAAGAGGGCGCCAGATCTCCTGGAACTGGAGTTATGGATGGTTGTTAACAACCATGGTGGTACTAGGAATTGAACCTGGGTCCTCTAGAGCAAAGTTCTCTTAACCTCTGAGTCTGTTCTCCAGGCCAAATAGTTTTGTTTTAAAAGAAGTCATTTGTAAACTGCATGGACAACATGTTGCCATATACACTAGACCCTTAAAACAGCCATCTTGCTATTTTGTTTCGAGTGTGTACAGCTTAGCAGGGAGCATGCTATAAACATCAAGGACATTTTAGCGTAAGCTTAATGAAATGTTTACATTATTGTATTTTATATATTCTCTTTTCACACACATATGGGTAGTCATGCATACACATATCGGCATCAATATGCAGGGTCTACTTGTGCAAGTGATACATGTTTGTAAATGATGTATAAATGTAAATGAATCTTTTAGTGTCATAATCCTTGAATTCAGTACATGTCAGGGAAGAATCATCATTGTCCTGGCAAATGCTCAGTAAGTTTCTCAATGAGTCCCAGTGGAGGATTTTGATAGCATTCAGAATCCCTGTGCTCCCAATTCACTTCATTTTCTTCCTTCTTCTAGACCCCCTTGTACTTGGTAAACCATGGTGAGAGCGGGCCAGTGCGGTGCAACAGATGCAAAGCCTACATGTGCCCGTTCATGCAGTTCATTGAAGGCGGAAGGCGCTATCAGTGCGGATTTTGCAACTGTGTGAATGAAGGTAAATGGTACCATTAAGAGTACTTTGGAAAAGCTTTTTATTTAAAAATAAGATGTATTACACGCCTTAGCTTAGGAAAGACAGACTTTTTTTCCTTACGTGGCACTACTTGTAAGGTCCCTAAACAGAAGCCATTACTAATAGAACTAGGTCCCTGTTATCTGTATGTAGCTGCAAGAGCCCTACATGGAAACTGCTATCGCTTTGCGTAAAACTGAAGCATGTAATGGTGGAGCTGTATCTCCTTCCACAATGTCCCATTTGAATGCAATGTGAGATTTTACCCCTTGCGTTTACAGAAGATAAGCACTAGAAACTTCTCTTCTGTCTCCTGTGGTTATTCTTGGGTTCATTGGTATTTAGGAAAAGCTCAGATAACCAAAGGCTTTCCCCTTCTGATATAAATGTTGAATCTTGAGGAAGGGACATTATGATGATGTCTCTTCAGTTCCATCCTGTCATAGAGCCACTAATGTGGATGTTAGACAGTGTGAGGGACAGCACATCAGAGAGAGCTCATAGATAAAGCAAGCACTGCGTCCACAAACTGAGGGCCTACGTTTGGCCCTCAGCACCCACATGAAAAGTTAGCAGAGCGTGGTGATGCACGTTTGTAACCCTTGGGGTTGAGAGGTGGAAGCAGGAGAATTCCTATGGCTCCCTGGCTGGCCATCTTAACCAGACAGTCAAGCTCCAAGTCCCAGTGAGTGACCCTGTCTCAAGTAACAAAGTGGACGGCTCCCGAGGAGTACCAGCTGAGGTTGACCCAGTCTCATACGTGCACACACACACAGTCTCACGTGTGCAGCTACACACACACACACGCAGCTACATACACACACCACAGTCTCACATGTGCAGCTACATCCACACACAGCTTCACATGTGCAGATACACATGCACATACACAAACATGGCCTCACATGTGCAGATACACACACACACACAAACATGGCCTCACATGTGCAAATACACACACATGAACACACATGCACATACACAAACATGGACTCACATATGTAGATACACACACACACAGAGCCTCACACATGCAGATACACACACACAGTCTCACATGTGCAGCTACACACACACACACACAGTCTCACGTGTGCAGCTACACACACACACACGCAGCTACATACACACACCACAGTCTCACATGTGCAGCTACACACGCACACACAGTCTCACATGTGCAGCTACACACACACACACAGCTTCACATGTGCAGATACACACGCACATACACAAGCATGGCCTCACATGTGCAGATATACACACACACACACACAAACATGGCCTCACATGTGCAGATACACACACATGAACACACATGCACATACACAAACATGGACTCACATGTGTAGATACATACACACACAGAGCCTCACACATGCAGATACACACACATGCAGTCTCACGTGTGCAGCTACACATGCACACACAGTCTCACATGTACAGCTACACACACACACACAGCTACACACACACACACGCAGCTACACACACACATCACAGTCTCACATGTGCAGCTACACATGCACACACAGTCTCACATGTACAGCTACACACACACATAGCTTCACATGTGCAGATACATACATACACAAACATGGCCTCACATGTGCAGATACGCACACACACACACACACACAAACATGGCCTCACATGTGCAGATACACACATGTACACACACATGCACATATACAAACATGTGCAGTTACACACACACAGAAACCAGGAGAGAAACAAATCATATGGTAGAGCATAATTCATGCTGTGACTTGAGTTTGGCTGAGGATAGGTGACAGATATTATTAATGAGCATGTAAAATTAATTTTTAAAAATCACATTACATGTAGATATGGGAGTGTGAGTGAATTATATATTATACTGTATAAAAATTGACATTCCACACATTATAAGTCTGACAACCCAGAAATCTGCATGACACCTACACATAAGTCACCGTCATGGTCCCTGGTTTATTTGCCTTTACTGAGAGACATTGTCATGTTTGTCTTCTGTAATCTTTTCAAGATGTTGAGTTCAACAAGTTCCTGGTCAAATATGTAAATATAAACTTTGTAGAGTTCACTACATGAGATGATAAGGACATAGAATCTGAAACTTCTGGTTTTTTAAAAGTCTGACTTCAGAAAAATTGTTCTGTTACAATTTGCACATTCACAGCTGAACATAAAGACCACCGAGTGTTGGTTTCAACCCACAAGGTGCTGCTTTTGTGGTTTTTACAGAGGGAGATGCTGTACTTAGCAAAATACTTAAAAGCTTTGATGACTTTCCCAGTACTATTAACAGACGTTTCACGGCCTTCTCTGGACGTCTCCAGGCAACAGAAACTCGTTTGCACAGAGACACCAGGCCTTATTTGTCCAAGTGTTCAGTGTGTGAGTCATAAGTCTTGCCCTGCCTTTGGGTGACTTCCAGAACTTGCTAGAAGTAACCTTCTGAGACATTTGAATCAAATTAGACTTCAGCTGAGGTCTTTCGTGTGCAGTCTTTCCCTAATACAGTAATCTTCTACATGAGTGGGGCCGATGGAAGCAGATTAGCCTGCGAAAGCCCAGGGCCAAAGACATTTCTTAATTAAGGTGAAATAAAGATTGTAGCTGACAGTACATCCAGATAGTCAGCATTAGTCTCTGTCAGCTATGTTAAAAATTGAAATAGAAAACTAAATTCCTTTTTAGAAAGAGGTAACTAGGTAGAGGCAGATATTTGGGTATGTTAGCTGGAAAACAACAGCACTTTTCTCTGTAGTTTCCAGAATTATAACTGTTATTTGGCATCAATAACTTTTATATGATCAGGAGATTTTTAGCAAAGCTCTGATTCTGGTTACATGAATGTGAGTATTTCGGTCTGTGGCTTTTCTATATGTATAAGATATTTCATGAAACACTCAACATTGATGAAAAATTATGTATTAAATTATGTAGTTCTATAGATAGAATTCCAGGCAGATTGATTTGACTATTAAAAAAATCAAAGTTTATATATAGCAAAACTATTATAAACATAATTAAAAGGCAAAATTGTAATGACTTACAACATATGTAAGAGTCAGAAATTTAGTGACTTTAAAGAAGAGAAAAATCATTTTTCACGTATTTCTAAGACATGCTCTCACACACAATAGTGATTCTGAGAACAAAAACTCCTTTCCTTGACAATAACATTTGAGAATTTGTTGGGTTGTCTGCTTGTGAAAACAAAGGATTTCCTGCCCTGATTTGTTTTCTGTAGTTCCTCCATTCTATTTCCAACATCTGGACCACATTGGAAGGAGAGTGGACCACTATGAGAAGCCAGAGCTGTCCCTGGGATCCTATGAATATGTCGCTACTTTGGATTACTGCAGAGTGAGTGTCGCCAGGACTTCGGCATTTCTGCGTTGATGTTGGGTTTCACTGAACAGCTTCCATGTGGAAAGGCATGACATGGTTCACAGACAGAGCATCTCCTGGGACATGTAGAAGTACCTCCAATATAGATGTGACCTCACTCGTTAGCATGATTCAGTTGCTGAGCTGTCTCCTGGAGTAATCAAGCTTACAAGTGTGTTATAGAGAGAGGAAACAATTCTTTTATCTGTTTGAGTGTATCCTGCTTTCTTGTTTGATTTGATTTGATTTCTGAGACAGGGTCTGACTTAATTGGGGCCTTGACCCTGCTGTGAAGCTGAAGATGACCTTGAAACCCTGATCCTCCAACTCCCAAATGCTGGGATGAATGGCGTGTGCCACCACTCCCAGATGTTGTACTGCCTCTCTGTGTAGCTTTGGAGTCATGGAACACGCGCTGCCTCCTGAGTGCTGGGAGTAAAGGTGTGCGCCACCACTGCTCAGTTGTACTGCTTCTTAATGCAGTAATGCTTTTGGTTTGTTAATGACTTCTCTACTAAGACAGAAACTTAACCAGTATTCTTAGAGGGCTGCTGGCTTCCTTACTTTAATGAGTAACTGTGAGACTCATTTGACTACCACCCATAAGCTTCTTAGAGTTCTTTCTTAAAAGAAAAAAAAACAGATAGCAACATCAACTTTCCTTATAAAGCCACTGACTGTTGGATACTATGCTACCACCGCAGAGCTGTCTACAACTGTATAAAACTCTCAACACAGAGACTGACTTTATCAGCTCTGCCTTTATATAGTAAAGATAAGAGGGTGTCTTTCTACTCACCCATCAAGTGTGTATGGCTCCTGTCTGGAAAGTTCCTACTTAGTCTCCACTTACTGACTAGATGGAAGTTTATTACGAGCACGCATCTTCATTTATTTGTTCCAACTGGTGCTTTGTTTTTCTTCATCAAGCTTAGGGAACATCTTTGTTTTATCTGTTCTCCTGGTGGTATTTGTGTGTCCTCCTCGTAGATTCTGACACCTTGGGTTTACTTTGTGATGTTCCTGCGGTGTCTGACACGGTTGGGAGTAGGCAGCACACTCGGTGAGCCTGTGGGTGAACAGGTGTGGACTTGCAGATGACTCACTCTGACCTTTGTGTTCCACTGACAGACTCCAGTGTGAGTAACCAGTGCTTATTCTTCAGTGCGCTGCTGAAACATCGTGGGTAGGTGAAGACACGGGCCCATTCTGTCTTGCTTCTTTCCTTTCTCTTCACATTTCTGGACAACAGCCCTTGGCTGCAGGTTCCCTTCAGAGATGTTTTCTTCTTTCCTTCCTTCCTTCCTTCCTTCCTTCCTTCCTTCCTTCCTTCCTTCCTTCCTTCCTTCCTTTTTCCTTTTTTGTTTTTTTAGGTTTTCGAGACAGGGTTTCTCTGTGGCTTTGGAGGCTGTCCTGGAACTAGCTCTGTAGACCAGGCTGGTCTCGAACTCACAGAGATCCGCCTGCCTCTGCCTCTGCCTCTGCCTCCGTCGAGTGCTGGGATTAAAGGTGTGCACCACCACCACCCTGCTTCCAGAGATGCTTTCTGGAGAGCAAATCCATGTGTTGAGAAAAGATAGCAAGAAGATTTAGCTGTATTAGTCATTCTTTGTAGTTGGCTAAATCTTTAAAACTTTCAATGAACATATCTTATTGTTCTATTGACTATTTTATGATTGCTTTAAACTAATATACATAGAAATAGTTACTAAAGAAAAAGCCATTGCTTTGTTAGTTTGATTTGTTGTGAATTACTTAACTTATTTGGTGACATATAAAACATTTTGATACAGAGGCTTTATGTCAGGCATCAAACATGTCTGGAAGTACAATTTACATTTCAACAGGTTGTCCTTTCCTTCTAATACCTGGAGGGGAAATCAATACACAACAATAAGCATTTGGTGTTCTAATTAAACATAACAAAGCCGTTGTAAGTTGTGATGGAGTTTGCCCACTGAACTCCATAGCTGGAGTATGAAACCCATCATGTGCTGAGGCATCAGGTCTCTGCCAAAGTGATAATCACAGACCTTATGCTGTTTTCAATAGAAACTTCAGCGAGAGTCAAACCTATGCCTAGAAACAAATGTAGCTTCAAATTTTGTTTTACAGTAGTATTCCAGAAGGATAATAAATAGGAAATATCACCCAGAAAGCAGGAAGCCAAATAATTGTAACCTTTGGAGCTTTGTCTTCCTTTTATCTAAGTAGAGTTTAATAGTAAATACACACTTTTATATAATCTAAAATGTAAATGAAGTAAAATAGTGAGTTGACTTAGGGATTTGGATGGTGAAAAGGAATTTACTATATATATATATATATACACATATATATACACATACATACATAATGTGTGTATATTAATGCTATATCTATGTATACTGAAAAGCTAATTACAGAATCATATTTTCCTCCATTTAGTTAATCTTAATATTGACTTTAGGTAATAAAATTAGCATTTGTTGAACACCAGGTGTTTCTCTGCTAGATACTTCTTACATAATGTGTGATATCATCTAGTCTTCAGTGAGCCCACATACTGTGTGCCACATTGTATGGGGACAGGTAAGAGAGCTTCAGCTGCAAATGAAATGTGTAGAAGGGGATGGTGACACACTAAAAGTGTGTCTGTGGGGTCAGAGCCCCACCTCCTGTCGGTGGGGGGGGGAGAAGGAAGAATGGTCAAAGTGTGTCGGGGGTCTTTGGGGGCCCTCTGGGTCACAGTCGGAGAGGGTGAAGTACGCAGCCTCCCTGAAACCAGGAGACAGTCAGGGGCGACAGGGAGTCAGGTCAAAGTGAGAACTCATTTATTGCGTAACAGGGAGACTTTTTAAAGTAAAAAACTGCAGGGCGGGAAAAGCATTACCCAATACTTTTAAAGGTGTCCCTGTGATGTAGCTAGTGCCCTATCTCCTCTTGGGGATGGTCTGTGAGTGGGATGACCTCATCTGGTGTGACTTTGACAGCCAATTGTTCTTAGTGAACACTTGAAGCCTCCCCTCCATAGCTTCCTCTCTGGGCTGTCTTGTAATGACACAGGTCGTCAGCTTAGGCCATTCCCTCTCCTGCCGGGACATGATCTGTGCTCCTCCACAAAAGTGCTGTAGGAGAGTGTGATCAAAAAGGTGTATATCGGGAAGTGGCATGAGCAAGTTACACCAGGAGCAGAGAGCCAGGCTGACACACACCTCTAATCGCAGCACCTGGGAGGAGGAGGCAGATGGAACTGTGTGAGTTCAAGGTCATCCTGTTTACACAGTGAGTTCCAGGATAGCCAGAACTAGTGGGATCCTGTCTCAAAGACAAAACAAAACAAAAAAAACAACAACAAACAAAACAAAACAAAAGTAATACATGGGCATTTATTTTCTGTTCCCTTCTTTTCGGTATTCTATATGCTTTTTGTACCTTGATTGGCTTTTCCTTTAAGTTGGAGAATTTGTTTTCTATGATTTTGTTAAAAATATTTTCTATGTCTTTGACCTTTGTTTCCTATCCTTCCTCTATTCCTATTATTTATAAATTTGAGCTTTTCATTGTGTCCCAAGTTTTCCTGGATGTTTTGTCCCTGGATTTTTAAAAAAATATCCATTTCTTTCATCTTGTCCTCAACACCGAGGTTCTCTCTTCCATGTCTTGTACTCTGTTGATGAGGTTTACCTCTGAGGGTTTTGTTTTTGTTTTTTAATCACTTTCTAAATGTTTCATTTCAGTTTGGGTTTTCTGTTGCAGTCGTTCTCCACTTTCTTAATGCTGTGACCCTTTAATACAGTTCCACATGTTGTTGTGACCCCCAGCCATAAAATTATTTTCATTGTTACTGCATAACTGTAATTTTGCTACTGTTTTGAATCATAATGTAAATGTCTAATATTCAGAATGATCTTAGGTGACCTGTGAAAGGATTGCTCAGTCCCCAGGTTGAGAACTTCTGCTTTTAGTGGCTCTATTTCTTTGTTAAATTTCTCTTTCATATCTTTAGCTATTTTCATGATTTCACTCAGCAGTTCGTGTTTTCAGTGTTGATTAGGCCTTCACATCCTCTTTAAGGTCCTTGAGTGTGTTCATGACTGCTATTTTGAAGACCTTGTCTCTTGCTTCAGATGAACTTCTTTTCTCAGGCCCTGTTGAAGTAGTGTTGCTGGCTTCTGGAGAAGGCATACTGTCTTGGCTGTTTATGCTTGTGTTTTTGCATTGGGATCTAGGCATCTGGTGCAGTGATGTTGGAGATTTCTCATGGTATTGATATCTGGTCTTGTCTTTGCTGGGTGGATATTCTGTTCATTGGTTGCTGTTGCCCATTCTGGATCCTAAACAAATGGGGTGGCTGTGGGGTTCCTCATAGAGAACGTTTTCGCTGGTTGTCACATGACACAAAGGGATGCAGATGCTCTAGAAGGAAAGGCTGACATGGGGAGCAGAAAATATGTGGGGGACCCTGGGTCTACAACAAGAGAAAGAATCCCTAGAGTATGCCAAGTTGGGTCAGAGGAGGGATTCAAGAGTGAGTCCAGAGGACCTGAATGGAGGACAGGAAAGAGTGAAAATTGCCTACTGGTGTCTCAGTCCAGTGGTGGTGGTGGGTCCTCTGGTAGAGTGTTTCTGCAGGTTGGTGGCAGACACAAAAATGGAGATGACCAGAAGGGAAGACTGAGAGGGTCTGTGGGAAAGAGCTAGGGGGGCCCTGGGTCCATATCAAGTAGCCAGAAGAACTGTTTAACACAAAACAACAACAACAAAACAGATGGCTGAGGGAAACAGGAGCAGTCAAGTTCAGTCAGGATTGAAGCCGTTGAGCTGTCATGTAGTGCTGTCACTGACAGAAGCCAGAAGGCAGTGTGGTGTGGTGTGGTGTGGAGGAACAGCAGATTAACTTTACACATGGTCAAAACAAGTCTTAGTGAGCGAAGGATTCCTAGACAGACAAGCTGGCTGGAGCTGTGGAACAGGTCAGTGAGGAATGACTTATGGGGAGTGTGTGAGAGCATATAAGATACAATAGGGATTGTCATCAAGAGGTTTTCCTTTAATTAATGGGAATGGTTGCTATTTTTCTTTGATATAACCTGCATTATGGAATAGATGAGATGGGACTTGGGAATTGAGAAGAAATCCTCACATAGACACCAGCATAGCTCCCTTATTTCTTGGCTGTTCTGATTTTGGATATGGAAAAGTAACATTTTCAGATTGAATTTTAAGTCTTATAAGTTTTTATTTGAAATGGGGTATCTTATTAGGACAGTATTATGTCTATTGTAGTAGATAGGGACTGAATCAATGAGATCACTTATAACTGTTATCATCTAGTCATATAGTAATTGAAACATTTTAATTTTAGAACATTTTGATGCTTTACCGTAAGTTGAAAAACTGTTGATCTTAGGTCTTTATTTTCTAGTGGAGGTCACTGATATTTGCCTGTGGCTTTCTTTTCTAAACATTTTATAAATCCCAGCTGAAGGATCATTTCCTTATGAACTATTTGGACACCAGCCAGATTAGGAACCAATGAGAGCCCATTTTCATAACAGCTGTTTTATGTTACAGTGACTGTTGCAAAGACATAGTAAAAGGGCCATTTTTCTTTACCACAAATAAAGTAAGTTTGGAAAGTAGTTTATAATATACATTTTAAGGTATGCAGCTAAATCTTAATAGACATTTTCACATCTGTAGTTGAGTGTGTTGGTATATTCCTGTAATCTTAGCAGTGGAGAAGCTTGGGCAAGAGAATTGACTATGTTTGAGGATAGCCTGAGCTATGAGTCAAGACCTTGTTTCAAAAACAAAACAAGAAAATATATCTAAAACCAAAGGAACTGGTAAGAGAACTTAAAATCATTATATCCCAGCTAATAAAGTTTGGTTTTAGCTTTTTCAATTGTACCCCCTTTTTAGCATTCCTTTTCAGGACCCCAACTACATTTCTGCATACAAAGCTGGCCAATGCTCGACCTTCCTTTAGTATCGCAGTAGGGGGTCTCTGAGCCATAAAAGCAAGCCTCCATCTCTGTTAGACATAATAGAAAGTTCATGTCGTAACCTAGAAAATAAGCAGCTTCTTTTATTTATTTATTTTTTATAACATCGGGGACTAGGTTTCCTAAAAAGTTATTTGATCCACAGATGTTAGATCCTTAGTATTGACCGAAACATCTGATTGTCCTCAGAGTTGTTTGCATTTGATTATGAAATATACTTACTCTGTGTCTACTTGTGTGATGTTTGCCTTCCTGCAGAAGAATAAGCCCCCCAACCCACCAGCCTTTATCTTCATGATTGACGTCTCGTACAGTAACATAAAGAATGGCCTCGTCAAGCTCATCTGTGAAGAATTGAAGACTGTGCTGCAGAGACTGCCCAAGTAAGGGAACTGCTGTTCTGTGAATTCTGCTGTGTCACTGAGCGGGTGCAGACCGGAACATCAGTCATAAATCTAACTTCACCATTCGTCTGAATACTCAAAATATCAGGGTGGATGTTTGTGTAAAGGAAGGAAAACAGAAACAGTGATAGATAAATGGAACATCTCAGAATACTTTATAGATTACAAAGAGAATCCCAACAGTAAGTAGGTGGGGGAAACTTTGAAAGTATGTTTCATACAAGCTGGTGGTTGCTGAGAATGGCGGAGTCCATAGGGTCCCAGAAAACTGAGCGGCTGTAGGAAAGAATGGAATCTTTTTAGCCAAATTCCCGTCTGCCCTTATGATGCAAGAGAGCCCCATGATTTGAAGTGTGAGGTGAGCCTCTCTCTGTCATTCCAGCGAGCAGCATTGGGAGGAAAGGAGGCAGCTCTTCATTCACCTGCAGCTAAGCAGGCGAATACACCCTGTCGTGACGACATCACCACTGCAGACCGCTTTAGAAGGCGAGCTGGCATACTACCTGCTTCAGTCACAAACAAGAAATAAAATTAATTGGTGGAAGTTTTAACCAAATATGTTATTGCATACAGGCATAGCTTACATTAAATTTGGCAGGGAAAAAAATCAAACTTGCTTTGAAAGATCGGAGAGGGGCGCACAAAAAGCATTTCTTATGTAAATAAAACCTTTAAAGAGAGATTTGAAAAAGTGGCAGGAAGTAGCTGGGAATAACCTCTCATTTTTCTCTCCGGTCTCCTCCTCTAACACTAAAATCGTAGCGACGTTTTAGCAGTCTTTGTGCACAAGCTGCCTGTTTGGAACTGGAGCTAATATCCATCACAGAGACAGGGGAGTAGGGGGGTGCTGTCGTCCTCCAAGAGGCTATGCTTAGAGGCTCTGCCGGCCATGGCATGCTGTGCCTGTGCTAGCCTGGACATGTTGTGTGCTTGCTCCTTTAACCTCCTCCTCGTCTTGCAGAGCACCCAGGGCAACATCTGTTCGGACAGGGGCATTTGGGTGAGGAGGGATTCATCAGCCATGCTGCTTCTTGGCCTTTAAATGCCCACTGCTCTGTAATCTTGCCACTCAAACCGATGCTTTGTCTCTAAGAACCTAGGGCGAGTGGGCTCTGGACCTTCCAGGGCTAGTGTTGTTTGTGTCTGTTCTGCTGAATTCATAATATTGTTGAGATGGTTTGTAAAGCAGTGCGGATGTTTGACAAACACTGAGGTGACTTCAGACTGGCCTGAGTTGGAGCCAGCTGCAGGAGGCAACCCAGATGTTCTGAGACTGATTTGTCTCATGTCATTTTCAGAGACTTGAGAAGGGTCAGTTTTCTGCTAGATGTTGTGTGCTTCCTCATGGAACTCAGCCATGGGCTGTCTTAAGTTCAAATCTGGATTTTACATTTAGTCTATAAGAAAGGGTTAGTGTATGAGAAACCACTCCAGTTTCTGAAAACCGGCTCTGCTTTTCTTGTCTCCCACTCCACTGAGTCAGGCTAACCTGTCTTCACCCACAGTCACTCCACAAAACCCTCCTTCCTGACCGGGAGCAGTGGTGCAAAGCTTGCAGCATTTGGTCTAAGATCTGAAATCGCACATTCTGTTGTTCTCACTATAACTGCACCCCCATGAAGCAGATGTGTGACTTTAGCAGAAGACGAGAGAAAAGTCAAGGTTACAGCTGGTTACTTTATGATGCTATTCAAATCTCTCTGAACTGTGTGTTTTAAAGCCAACTGTCTTCATTTAAAAAAATGAAAAAAAAAAACAAAAACACTTGGTTGCTTTCTGTCTAGAGTTTGCTTTGGTCTCTGCCCATATGCAGCATTTTTAAATTTTTTTACTACTATTTTACGTTAAGACTGCCCCACCAATTTGATTGCTCTTCTTGTGCCAAAGCAGGTGACATGTTTTACATGGTGTCTGTAAAAGAGTCTGCATGTGCTTGGTGTTCTAGAATGCTCTGAATTTTCTGAAAAGAGAAGCCCCTTCTTTTCTTTTTGACTTTGAATTTGCATTTAGCCTTGAAAAGTTTCTAGATTTTCTGACTTCTTTGGAGCAAGGAAGAAAAACTTTAAAATCCTTATTCTGTTGCTCCTATCAAATCATTGGGTTATTTTGACTCGATTCTTTCCAATGTTGATGAAGTAAATATTGGAAGTGGGACTGACAGGATGGCTCAGCTGAGAAACCCTTGCCTTTTTTAAATTGTATTTCCAGTGCAAGGACCTGAGTTCAATCTCCAGAACACAGGTAAGAACACCAGGGCCCGTGGCTGGCAGCTAATCTAGCATAATTGGTGAGCTCCTGGCCAATGAGTGACTTTGTTTCAAAGGAGGTGGCTGGTGTTCTGTCTGTCTGCTTTGCTGTGGTGTTGTGCTCCCGGATTCATGCTACTAAACGATCTAGTTGCTCTTGGAAAGAGTGTTGCTGAAAAACAGAAGACCTTCATATACCCCACAGAGTTATGTACAGTCCTTCATATACCCACAGAGTTATATACAGTTCTTCATATACCCACAGAGTCATATACAGTCCTTCATATACCCCACAGTTATGTACAGTCCTTCATATAGCCCACAGAGGTATGCAGAGTTCTTCTAGTATCCCAGAGTTATTCATGTATCATTCATATATCCAACAAAGTATTATAGTCATTCATGTACTCCTCAGAATTGTACAGCCCTGCATGTACCTCAGATTTATGATACCATCCTGAATGTATCCCACAGTGTTATAGAGAATTAATGGAGAAAGGCACAGTTTTCTTCATGTGCTATATTATAATGTTAAGGAAGTTTTAGGACAGTTATTCATTGAAGATATTTTTCAAAGTTTTGTGTTGTTTGTTTCTCAAATTAAAAAACATTTTTCTATGAAGATAGGTGATAAGATTTTACAGTGATGTGGGATGTTCTGATTAGATGCCCTTTTAAGATGTTAATTTAGATTGTCAGCTATTTCTGTGGCTCCCATCTAGATAAGAATATGCCCAAAGTCCAGTGAGAGATATTAGTGATCAGGGAGTCTCTGTGTGTGTTATTTGACTCCAGTTTAACTATGAAAAGAAAACCAGTCACTCATGATTTATCAGACATTTTTATTTATGCAATGAAAGGTTACTGGGAAACAAGGTGAATGAATGATGTGCTGGTGAACTGTTTGTCAAATAAAAAACCATAATTTGCAGCATTTGCTCACTGCGCATGTTGATATTTCTAACCAGGTTGATTTTAAACCACAGCTACACCGGCATGCCTTACCTTTGGACTTCTAGTAAAAAAGCAACTGAAAGAAGGGTTCATTCTGACCCACGCTTTAAGGGTACACAACACCATGGCAGAGAAGGAAGGAAGGATGGTTTTGTTGCATCTGCAGTCAGGAAGCAGAAAGAAGTGAATACCACCACACAGTGCTGCCCCTCCGTTTACGTATTTTCATTTATGGGTATGCACACATGAGTGCAGGTGCCTGCAGGAGTTTCCCTAGGACATTTCACATTTCCCTGAAACAGGAAGTTGTGAGCCACTTGACATGGGTGCTGAGAGCTGAACTCAGACCTCTGCAAGACTTCTAAATGCTCTTAACCACTGAGCCATCTCTCCAGCCCAGCTTTGTAAGTTTTCTTTTTTGTTTGGTTTTTTTTTTTTTTTTTGGTTTTTCGAGACAGGGTTTCTCTGTGGCTTTGGAGGCTGTCCTGGACTAGCTCTTGTAGACCAGGCTGGCCTCGAACTCACAGAGATCCGCCTGCCTCTGCCTCCTGAGTGCTGGGATTAAAGGCGTGCGCCACCAACACCCAGCCTAGCTTTGTAAATTTTATCCAGTCTAGGACCCTCCCACAAGGAATGTCACTGCCCACAGTCAGGATGAATCTCTAACCTAATCTAGACAATCTGCCACAGACATACCCAGAAATCCTTGTCTCGCTTTATTCTCAATCCAGTCAAGTTAACAACCAGGATTAAACATTACAAGCTCTAATCTCCCACCCCACCGTCCAGTGTTTTGCCAGCATTTGTAAGTCATCCTCAATAAAACTTGAATTCTATACCACAGTAGACTTTGTGGAATGGCACGGGGCGGGGTGCTGGTGGTAGGTAAGTCGTGGGCATTTCCTTCCATTAACTTGCTGCACTGTACACTAAGAGAAATGCCTTAGAGGAATTCAGAGGAGGAAATTACTTCTAGCTTGTAGCCTCAGAGATTTCACAGAGGAGGGAGAATTTATGCTTGGTCTTGACAAGCAAGATTTTAATAACAGGGAAGCAGAGAAAGCCCAGAAGCAGTGTCATAAATGTAGTGTCGCTTAGGATAACACAGCATGCAGCACAGCATACGCTCCTGTGGAGTCACACAGCTCAGGGGACACCTGTGTGTGTCTGTGAGTGCTTTAACCAAGTAGATGGGGCTCTCACTTCTGAAAGCATTGCAAATGTCAAAAATGGAAGCATTTGTCCATCGCTCTTACAATAGGTCATGAGAGCATTTTAAACTTTATCCATCTATCAAACCACAACGGAGAATAGAATCAAAGCAGGTAAAAAGCCAGGTCTTGTCAGCCTGTAATCGGATTCTGCAATAGAAGCTGGCTTTTCAGTCTATACCTCTCTTCGTGCGCACTTCCATTTCCTTTATGCTCAAGTTGCTCATACACACACACACACACACACACACACACACACACCTCATTCATTGATTTTTGGGGGGTGTTTTGAGTCACTCTCGTGTAGCTGAGGCTAGCCCTAAACTTTTGGTATTCCTGCCTCTGTCCCCTAAGAATTTGGATTACAGACATCACCACAGCTTCAAGGCATCGTTTATGTTATGGAGAAAATTCAGAAATGAGTAGATTCCTTTTCAGAAGAAAAGCATCCTCAGTAGAGGAGGTCTCATTGACATGGAAAGTCAAGGAAGATGTAATGTGCCTTTCTTGTGGTTGTCATCCAGACACTGAGCGCTGTGTTGTATTTGCCATTGGAACCTAGAGTGTCTGTGGTATGAATATTTTATTTTAAGGCAGTCAGAAGTGGGCAGAAATGCAGTCTGTAAGCAGGCACCTGGAGCCTGTGCCACCAAATTCTGAATATCTTTGCTACAGACTGAGGTGAATGGGTTCATTCTTCTGTACTTCTGGAACATTAACCACTTGTTTGGAATTCCTAAAAGAAAAGATGCTGTTTAATATACTTTTAGAGATGTCTTCTTATTATGACTATCACAAGAAATCTTATTTATAAGTATACTTTACTTGCTGTTATATATTTCTGTGACATGTTATTAAAATCTAGCTATTGTTACATTGGGATTTTGTAGGACGTGTAATAAAAATACCACACATGAGCCGAAAATTCTTTCCTGATGCAAACAACGTCCTCTCAGTAACCTGGGCATCCCTTCTCTCCTGTTGCTTCAGATGTCTCATTGTTTTGGTTTTTCAGTGACTTCTGAGAATGTTTTATTTATATGAATGGAATAAGCCCAGATTGTTCATGGAAATTCTAAAAAAGTCCAATTTCCTATGAATTGAAATTAAGCCAAGCATAGTGGAGCACACCTTTAATCTCAGCACATGAAAGGCAGAGCAGCATGGTCTCTGAGTTCAAGGCCAGACTGGTCTACAGAGTGAGTTCCAGGACAGCCAGGACTACTCAGAGAAACCACATCTTGAAAAGGCCCCCCAAGAAAATTTAAAATAAAGAAAAAAACCACATGAGCAAATATGTATGAAGTGTTTTCATAATACCTAATCCTTGACCTAGAATTTTGAGAATGTTTTCCTTTGCCAACCTGCTTATTTTTGAAGTAATCTGTACCCCTTCCTGCCATGACTCACTATTGCTTTCTAAGGTCAATAGAAATTAAAACCAGAGCTTTAAATATGTCTTTCTTATATTCTAGAGGAGACACAGGTGTCAAATTTAGGTAGAAGCCTCATCACACAGGCAGAAGACTGAAGAAGGCAAACTGTTCCCCACGTCCCAAGTCTAAGGCATCTTCATCGCCTTTGAACAGAGTCAAACTGTGTTGGTGAGAGTTTGTGCCTGAAGTTCACCTTTGTCTTTTCTCTTAGGGAAGAGCATGAGGAGACATCTGCAATCCGAGTTGGTTTTATCACATACAACAAAGTTCTCCACTTCTTTAATGTGAAGAGTAATTTGGCCCAACCTCAGATGATGGTGGTGACGGATGTTGCAGAGGTTTTTGTTCCTTTGTTGGATGGGTTTCTTGTCAACTATCAAGAATCTCAATCTGTGATTCACAAGTAAATATCAAGTATCTTCTAATTAAATGCATGTGTTAAGTCGCCTTGTGTTTCCACCCAAATAGAAATATAGTTTGCCTTTGTTGTTAGCAGGGGGTTTAGGACATAGATTATACAACTTTTGTCATTTATGTTAGATTTACCCCTTTCTGGTGTACCGTTTAAAAATATTCACTCTCAGTCTTTAAGTTCTTTCTCTTCTTTGGAAAAGGGATGAAAGGAATGCATTTCTTGCATGTACTGTAATACTAAGATAGAGTTTTATTTAAAGAGTCCTGGGTATTATAAATAGATAATATAATGAAACAAAAAGTATCTATGAAGAGAGTAATTTAGTAAATGTTCCATCCAAAGAATAGGTATTGGTGCTGGACTGTGCTAAAATATCCTTCATTAAGGAGTGTCTATATCAGGTTGCCTGCTCCCTGTGGGTAACAATTACCCTCACATGCTGTTCATCAATAAAGTCATATGTGTTCAGGCTTGAGACATCAGTAATTTATCATCTGAAATTAATGACAGATTTTCTGAGCATTTAAAACCCTTTCTCCGCTTTGTCCCCTCAGTTTATTGGACCAGATTCCCGAGATGTTTGCTGACTCTAATGAAAATGAGACAGTCTTTGCTCCCGTCATCCAGGCTGGCATGGAAGCACTTAAGGTGAGAATTGGCCACCTCTACTTGATAGAAGATTAAATTTGTAACAGAGAGATTAAGAAAGAAAGCCTTGTGTATAAAAAGAAATGGTCTTCATTAAATTCCTAGGTTATTAGGGTTTCTAAACTTGCCCGGTTTCCAGGAGGAAATGGCCCAAGCCACAAGCACACCCGGTGTTTACATCCCAGTGCAGTAACACCAAAACAGCTGTTCTGTCAGGATTTCAGCTTTACCCTCTCTTTGGCTTAGGTGAACCTTTTGTAATCTGTTTATAATGTCAGTTCAATCAAATCAGAACTATCAGACATGAGGAGAAAACTTCCCTTACTGTCGTCTTCTTCTTTGGGGTTTTCAAACACACAAAGGCAAGGTCTGGGGACAGCTGGTGTCAGGGAAGCGACTAATGCTCATGGCCTCAATGACTGTCATAAGTGGAGGAGATGTCTTTGTGTTCACTAGGGAAGCTGAGCTCAAATGACATTTTGTTTTCATAGGATTGAAGAAGACCCTATTCCCAACCACTGTTTGTTTAGCACAATAGTCAAATCTGTGGGCTTTGACAGATCATTCATGAAGTTAGTTTTAAAACTGTGTTATTAAAATTAAGTCCATGCCAACTTTTAAAACAGAATGACTAATAATAATGACAAGAACAGTACAAGCAAACAGGGATAATGGTGTTTTAGGGCTGAGTTTATGAACTGATCCCACACAAATGTTGCACTATTTCTATAGTCTGACCCGATTCTTGTCTAGGTTTTCTGATTTCTGAGTGTTCAGGCATGATATCAGGAGCATTTGCTCATGGTGTTGTGGATGCCCTTTAGCAATCAGAATAATTGGAATTTAATGTAAAACTCCCAACAGACTTCATATCACAAATGGCTTGGCAGTATTAGAGTCTACTCCAAGAGAGCCATCATTGATCAACAGAAAGTCTTGGGAATTATGATATTCTACATCACAAAAAAACCAAAATCCTGTCTGTTCTTTTTCACTTTGAAAATGTTTGCTTTGTTGTTCATATTCTCTTCAATGAGAAGTTCATTAGTAAATTTCTCCACAAATCATAATTCGTAAAGGACCCTAAAATGTTCTCACCTTCAACAAAAAATTCATCAGTAAATCTCTCCACACATCATAATTCGTAAAGGACCCTAAACATCATTCTGCTTTAAGACAGGAAGTGATATTATAAGTATGTGCTTACATCTGAGAGGAATGATGAGCGAGTGATAAAAAGCTATTCTTTGTCTAAAATTTAATGTCAATCCTGATAAATCATTGTCCATAACAATAGTAATATAGTCTAAAGTTGCTTATGCAGTACTTGCTATAGCATAAAGCATTCTCTGCCATCCATTCATGACAGTCTAATTCACTGTAATTCATGTCTTTGTATCTTTTGCATTACGTTTTTTAATTTACAAGTTTATTGTTACATTATTGTTTATTAATATATTAATCCTTGAAGTATGTGAAAACTGTTTTAGTTGGTGCTATTTGTCATTGCTGTGGTGCAACACATGACCAAAGCAACAGCAAGGAAAGGGTTTATTCGGCTAACACTTCTCTATCACTGTTCATCATCAAAAGAAGTCAGGACAAGTGCTCAAACAGGGCAGGAACCTGGAGGCAGGAGATGATGCAGAAGCCATGGAGAGGCACTGCTTACAAGCTTGCTCTTCATCGCTTACTCGGCCTGCTTCCTTCTAGAACCCAGGACCAGACCACCTGCCCAGTGATGGCACCACCCACAATGGGCTGGGCTCTCTCCCATCAATCACCAAATAAGAAAATGCCTATGGTCAGACCTTATGGAGACATCTTCTCAACTGAGGTTCCCTCTTTCAGATAACGCTAGCTGCTAGCTTGTATCAAGTTGATGTAAACTAGCCAGAACAAAAATGTTGATGTTTTAAAATGTGGAAAAACTAATATCAAAGCATAGCAGTTCAGAAGGCTTCATGAATATAAAGTCAGATCCTGGGTAGCTGAAAATCAGAAGTCTCTAATATTCTCACCTGTAGCTGGAACAAAAGATAACACATTTGAGAATGTCCAGTAGAGAAACAGTGTTGAGGAGTGCTCTTCACTTAGTCATTCTTTTCAACCAGTAAGAAAAATCTTGTGTTTTGCAAGGTAGTCCATACTGTCCTGTATTACAAGACATAGTTCTTATGGTAGCAGGGAGGCTGGGGGTAACTTGGGAAAGTCCAGGGCTATGTTTGGTCAATAGCTCAGGTCATTGTGTACAGAGGGCAGAGATGTGATCCCATTCACTATGGGCAGGGAGTAGAAACAGGCTCCTAGCAGTGAGATCAGGACTTGTCCCTGGCCTTCAGCTGGCTTTTGGGAACCTGTTCCCCATGCTGGATTACCTTGCCCAGTCTTGATGTAGGGGGAGGAGCTTGGTCCTGCCTCCACTTCATGTACTATGGTTTGTTCAAGCCCATGGGAAATCTGCCCCTTTTTGAATGGAGATGGAGGCAGAGTGGATGGGGAGATGGAGAGATGGGAGGTGTGGGGGGGGGCTATGGTCAGTATGTAAAATAAATGAAAATGCTAATTTTAATTAATTAATTAATTAAAGGGGAAAGTGGGGACTCGTTTTACTGTGAAGGCTTTCAGGACTGGGCTCTCCATTACAACTTTTCTTTCTACCAGATAAGATATCAAATAAAAGTTTTATATGTATATATAGATATATAATTATATATTCTACTAATTATTTAATTATTATATATCACAAACATATTAATTATGTGTATATGTATATATAATTCACATATATGTAGAATTATTATTAATAAACTTGTTAAAGCAATCAGAACAGATCAAAATTAGAAAAACAATGTAAATTTGTCACAAAGATAAACTGGTTATTTGGAAAGTCCTGCGCATGTTCCTAAATGCCCTTGAAGTACTCAACTAAGGGCTTTATGCTCTGTTGTTCTCTGTCCACACAGCATCTTCTAATCTCAGCCTCTTTTTCCAGCCATGAGTAGAATTTATCTCCTTCAGACTCTCACACATGCACAGATCAATTACATGTGACTCGCTAACATAATCAGTTACCTAAGTCAAATAACTTGATAAATGAACTTCTATATAAGAATTGGGCAAAGGGATGCTACAGATGGTTCAGTGCTTAAGAGTACTTGCTACTCTTGCAGAGGACCCAAGTTCAGTTCCCTGCACCTGCATGGTGATTCACAACTGCTCGTGACTCAAGTGAGTCCTATGCCCTCTCCTGGCCTCTGTGGATACTGTGTGCACACAATGTATTTAAATACATGCAGGAAAACCCCTTAAACACATAAAATAAAAATAAGCACATCTTTAAAAAAAGAGTTGGACAAAGTTGACACACATGGGTGTCAATAGTTATTCCTGAAATAGATTACTACCTGAATAGAGAGGTTAAAGCTACCTTGAGATAATTCACAATTGATACCAACATTCCATTCCAAGATCCATCCTGACACTCCACTGACAGACACTATGGAACACTTAAACAGGGAAAGACAGAGGCTTGATGTGGGTGGAGAAATGAAAGCATCCTTCTTCAGAGAGCCTTTCATTTACAGGAGGCCATGATGTCATATTCTATAGAGTGGGAGACAGCGACAGAGGCAACTGGCTGGTCAGTGGTTCTCATGCCAGTCTCTTAGAGGGAAGAGCACTGAAAATAAATTTTGAAGAGTTCTTGAGGCCTGCCCTTTGAAAGCCGTTTCTATGGAAGTCAGAAGGATATATGCTATTCATCTCACTCTGACTCACTCTTGTGAGCACAATTGAATGTTGGCAAAGACATCAAATTTTGTAGGAGTATAGTCCATTTTCCAGATATAAAATGCTTTATAAGTCTGTAATTAGTGAAATTATAGCTCTAAAATGAAGTGATTGAATAAGGATAAATAAATGTAGCTACTGTATATGTCTTTACATATGTGCTTGTTGTATCTTGTAATTTTTTGCATGTGTATGTATGTGTGGTGTATTTGTACAAATGTGAGCATATGTGTGATCATGTGGGGGGGGCTGAAGTTGACATCAAGTGCTGCCCAGACTGCCTTCTCCTCTCCTGCAATCCCCCCCCCCCCTTGGAGTAGGGTTTCTCCTGAACCTGGAGCTTGCCAATTCTGGCTAGTCTTCTCTGTTTCTCCAGTTGAGTGCTGGGATTATGGGCACCCAGCATGCCTACCAGGTTTTTATGCGGGGGGTTGAGGGTCTGGACTCAGATCCTCACATTTGAATGGCAAGCACTTTGTCCTTTCAGCCACCTCCCTAGCCCCAGAGTAGGGCCCTGTCATTCATTTAACCAGACAAGTAAGTATGCTTATTATGATTAACTGAACCAGCAAAGTCTTCCAGCCCTTGTGTTCTGTGGTTACTATGTCTATATCATATGTGGCATGAATGAAGCTAAAGTCACAGAGCTAACACAACAGTTCAGACTCTAACCCTAGTCTGTGGGGATGAGGACCTGTGATCGTTGTAGTACAAAATCTCAGAACTTCAGTGACTAGACAATGTCCAGATGGACACAGAAAGTTGATAGTGAATTCTGTAGGGAAATTGGATGGCTTAGACGCGAAACATTTTACTTTATATTTTTGAGAACTGAATGTGTGATTGGGAGTATTTTTAGTTTGAACCAATTAACACAGGAAGTCTCCGAATGATGTGATTTTCACTTTCCTTTTTACAGTAAAAGACTAGATACTTTCTCAAAGCAGACAACAGAAGGGAAGGGTCATTTAAATTTGAGGGAAAATGTGGTGGTGACCACTCAGACACAAACACAGGCTGTTGCTTTCCTGGTGACTTTAGTTCTGAAGAACACTCCAAACCTACTGAAAGGAGTCGGCAGTTTTCAGATGCTTTACTGACTTACACTCTCCGTGAACAGTACTGTATTCATCCTGTTTCTCCTGCATGCAATCCCTCTTTCCTCTCCCTGGTCATTTTCTTCCCCTTCTCCGGTATCTATTCTGCTAGCATGTCCTACGCATTTTTGGTTTTCTGTGTGTATCTAAAACACAGGAGCCAAAAATGAGAAAAAAACTTGTCTCTTAGTCTGGCTTATTTAATTTAATACGATAATCTCCATTTCCCAGCAATAATTTCATTCTTCTTTATGGCTGAATAAAATTCAATTGTGTATATGAACTACACATCCTTTGTCACCTATTTATGAACATATACACTGATTCCATTACTTGACTGCTGTGAACAGTGCTGTCATAAACATGGATTTGCAGGTATCACTGTAGTGTGTGGACTCAGGGGACTTACTGTGTGTGTGTGTGTGTGTGTGTGTGTGTGTGTGTGTGTGTGTGTGTGTGTGTGTGTGTGTGTGATATTTGTCACCAGGTAAGACAATGTCACATTAAAGAAAGGAAACTAACCCTTGGTGTTGTTTACCAGAGAGTGAGCCTGATTGGATTTGAAGAGTTCTGACCTGACAAAGGCCATTCTCTTTATGTGTTGGACAGCACAGCAAATAGGAACTTAATTCTTAATCAGTCTTCTGTAGAGGTCTTACAGAGAAGTTCCTTTTTTGGCCTTGCTGACCCAGAAGAGCACACAAAGCCACAACCACATGTGTATCCATCACCTTACCCACACATATATTGTCCTAAGTTTGGTGGCATGAACAGGCCACTAAGGAGAAATAGAGTACATGTTATATCAGCGAGTTCAAAGTATAGAAAAATTAGTTATGCAATTAGTTACATTGTTTTTTCAAAGATCAGTTAATTCTGAATGGGCTGAGTACATAGTATGTAATCAGAATGAATACATCGTGACACATCATCTCTAAGCACATTATTAACTTGGTTCCAGGTTGGGTGAAAGTATGATTATTAAGGCAATCTACAAGCAGTATTTCTTGGAAAACTCATTCCCACAGTATGGTGGTTCTTCAGTTCCTGGAGATACCTCCACACTGTTTTCCATACTGACTTGACTGGTTGCATTCCTTCTGAGACATCTAAGAGGTCCCTTTTGTCCCTATCCTCAACAATAGTTTGTTCTACATTTTCTTTGTTACCTTTCTGACTGGAGCGAGGTGGGATTTTCATACATTTATTATACTCTTAAAATAAAACCTTACCAACCAAACATTTTGTCTGATGTTTTTAGGCAGCAGAGTGCTCTGGGAAGCTATTTATCTTCCATTCCTCCTTGCCCACTGCAGAGGCACCGGGAAAGCTCAAGAACCGAGATGATAAAAAGCTGGTTAACACGGACAAAGAGAAGGTACCTGAAGTGCCCACTGCAGTGTTACTCAAAGGGGTCCCACACTTGATGAGTATTTTGAACTGTAAACCATTAAGGAGTTTCACATTGCTAGAGAAGCCCATAGCTGACATATCTAAACTGACACATCTTCCATGGGTAATCAATGTAAGATGAGAATTTTAGAGAAACAGAAGGAGAGGGTTGCATGAGGAAGAGATCATGGAGAGGGAAGGTAGTGCACTGTGACATCACTCTCCTGAGGAGGAGACACTAATCATGAAGCAGAGGTACCACGTGCTGACAAGGGGCCGTCATTCAAACCCAAGACAGACTGGCAGCCAGGAACGGTCTCGGGGGTGGAAGATGGACCGCGGTGCACACCCCTCAGTCACAGCACCTTCCAATCCACAGAGCTGTGTCAGGCCCATGGGCTGAGGATGGGGCAGGGACAGCCCCACTAGGGGTGTTACAGTATCAAACAGCCTGAAGGCAAACAACTATTTTATTCTAGTAGCCCAGTCCACTTAGCTGGAGGGAGAAAGCCCATAATTTCCCCATTTAAAATTTCCAATTACGAAATTTAACAGAAACTTAAATTTTAATAAGGAAATGTGTGTAACTTTTCATTTTTTTCATCCTTTTCTTCAGATACTTTTCCAGCCCCAGACAGCTGTCTATGAGTCTCTGGCCAAGGACTGTGTGGCTAATAGCTGCTCAGTGACTCTCTTCCTCTTTCCCAGTCAGTATGTGGACGTGGCCTCCTTGGGGCTGGTTCCTCTGCTCACCGGAGGAACTCTTTACAAGTACAATGTTTTTCGGGTAAGTGGCTAGCCATCTGTCCTTCCCAAGTTTCCTCCTGTTTGAATTTTAATATTGCCTTAAAATATACTTTGTCTCTGTCTTTCTGTCTCCCCCTCTATCTGGTGTTCTCTCTCTCTCTCTCTCTCTCTCTCTCTCTCTCTCTCTCTCTCTCTCTCTCTCTCTCTCTCTCTCTCTCTGGTGTGTATGGGTAGGAGGTCGTGTGTGTGTGTATGTGTGTGTGTGTGTGTGTGTGTGTGTGTGTGCGCGCGCGCACGCGCAGGTATGCATGTATCACTGAGAGCTTCTGGTGCTCATGGAGGATTTTCAGGCGTCAGTTCTCTCCTTCCATCCAGCTGAGGTACAGTCTTCGTTGTTTCTTGTGTACTGTGCGCTGCCCTAGGCTGGTGGTCCAGCAAGCTTTCTGGGAATTCTGTCTCAGCCTCCTGTCTTGCCATAGGAGTCCTGGGATTACAGCATCAAGCTGCCACACCTGTTCGTTGTCTGTGTTATTACATGTGGGTGAGGACCAAACCCAAGCCATTAGGCTCGCACATTAGTCTCACACAAGGGTTTTTAAGGCCTGAGCCGTCTCCCCAGCCCAGATGAAGTTGGTTGCGTAGCTCATGGATTAAGAAAGTTGTATCAGGCTGGGCACAACTAGCAAAAGTAATTTCGGCAGATGTAAAACCGTGCGTGTTTGATTGACTTTAGCCACACATTGGGCTCATACTACCCCAGAGCTGAATATTAATGTGAGCTTTGCTGTGGAGGAAAGTGTGCTTTATATAAGAGACATCTAAGATGATGTTTGAAAACATAATTGCATGTTTAATTTGTTGAAATCTGAGGCAGGTTCATTATACTCCGCTCTTCCACTTGGACTAACATGCCTCCCCTGAATTAGGCAAAGGCATATGCCACGGTTTAGGATAGGCACAGCCACAGGCTTCTCTTATGGACAGTTGTACCTTGAAGTCTTACTGTATTTAGGCTCAGAGAATGGGTGCTGGTCCAGGAAGACCCAGGGCCAGGCCACTGATGTCTGTGCTCTACAGGGCTGCTGATCATAGAGTCTGTTTCCTAACAGTGGACAAAGTCTCTTGCTGTTTTAGCTTAGGAGTGAGAGCAGCACTCAGTTACATATGTATATGGAAGTTAAGTAAGAGACTTAGTAAGACCAAAGACTGAAAGTGAAATACATTTTAAAAAGCTGTAAGAGACCCTTGAAGACTTCTGGGTAAACACTAGACATAAGGTCTTACTAATGATAAATCATTTGTCTGGTGGGAATTCTGGGTGATTGAGGCACACTGTGACTGTCTCAGCTTATTCTCTAGTGAGAGAAATACATCTGATCAGAGACCTCTATCTTCAGTTCCTTGTTAACAACGTCCTGGCTAGGGTAGTGCTGGAGTCCCACACGGATGAGCTAAGTCCTGAGAGTGACTTAGCTGCACAGAGACCAGGGCGGTGTTGGTAAGAGGCACTGGACTTCACCACTGTTGACGCCATTCCCTTAGTAGTGCACTAGTTCTGTGTACAGTTTGATAAAAGCCCTTTGTTTGTCAATATAGCAAAGCTGTTACTGATCCCATTGATGCTATTAGAAAAGAAGTGCCGCGGTATCCAATAGAAGAAAACTGCCTGTACTTTCAGTAAGTAGAACACTTTATAGCCAGGGTTAGTGCGAATCCACTTCAGGGTTATGGGCGTGTTGTAGACGGAATCATATCTTAGCATCTCCTGCTTTGCTCTAAAAGCAAACATTTTAATAGTGTCTTCCATTAAATAATGTTGCCAGATGAAAGTGATGGTCAGGAACACAGTCAGACTTCCGGTGTGTACCTGCAGTACCTTTGTGAGGACTGTCTGTGATGACTGTTTCCTTTCCTCTTTTCTTCTCTTTGTTTTGGGGACTGGGGATAGGAATTGTGTGTGTGTGTGTGTGTGTGTGTGTGTGTGTGTGTGTGTGTGTGTGTGTAGGCAGTGTTCTAAGTGAGTCTCAGCTCTGTACTACATGCTTGTGTACGCCATTAATGTTGCTTACGTGTGGGCTGTGAACAGCTTTCAGAAATACAGTTTAAAAGAGTAGTCAAGAAGTCCAAGGGAAGGGTTGTTCTCCAGACTCTGAACTCTGACTGAGCTTCAGACCTTGAATATGGTCGAATAAAAGACACACCCAACCCCACCCCACCCCACCCCTCCACTGCCACCACCATCGCAGTGTCTTTCCCCAGCCTCACTGAATGCTAAACATGCACGTTTCCCGAGTCTAGGACTAAACCCCTGAGTGAATCGCTTATGCTATTTCTCCATTTGCAAACTCAAATTAGTAAGTGACCTTCCCACCCAAATGTTATGCTCTGAAGATGAAAAAGATAGATAAGGAACTTAATTTTGAGTATTTTCACGAGATTATACATGCACATAAGATATACATGTAAGTGTGCTAAATCAAAATATAAAAATAATTATTTAAAAAATCAGTGAAAAATGTTTTTTGAAGTCTTTCACTGCCACCTGGTGGCCACTGATCATATTTTATCTTTTAGGTAAATTCAGATAGCCAACAGTTTTTGAATGACCTCCGAAATGATATTGAGAAGAAAATAGGCTTCGATGCCATTATGAGGGTTCGTACCAGCACAGGTAATTATCATTTGCATCATTTCACGTATCTTCTGCATAATTATTTTCTCTTTAAATAACAGCACAACAAAGAACAGCAGAATTCAGATAAGCAAGTTTTCCTTTCTTCTTGTACTTTAGGTTTCAGGGCCACTGATTTCTTTGGTGGAATATTTATGAACAACACCACAGATGTAGAAATGGCAGCCATCGATTGTGATAAGGCCGTGACTGTAGAGTTCAAACACGATGACAAGCTCAGTGAGGATGCTGGAGCCTTGATCCAGGTGACCAAGCATTCAGACAGTTTAATTGTCATGTATACAGCATTCTGCCCGCGAGCATGCCTGCAGGCCCGAAGAGGGCACCAGATCTCATTACAGATGGCTGTGAGGCACCATGTGGTTTCTGGAAATTGAACTCAGGACTCTGGAAGAGCAGCCAGTGCTCTTAACCTCTGAGACATCTCTCCAGCGCCCATGCTGGCCTTTGTTACATGATGCCAAATGTGCTACTCTCTTCCTAACAAAACTCAATTCTCTTTCTCCAAAGCAGGAGCCCCTAGATTACTCTTGTGTGGGTCACCCATAGGTTGATAAATTTATGCTACTTAATGTGACCCAGCCAAGCTATGTGAAGTGTCAGGTGTCAGCAAACTGGTTCCTGTGAAGTGTCTGTGTCCAAGGTTCTTGCAGTCATAAGGCCCCACCCTAATTAATTCATTTTAATTAGTTCGACCTTTTACATGTGCTACCTCCATGATCTTCCCCAAGGAAAAGCACATCTATAGATTGTCCAGTACCAGACAATCAGCCCTAAAAACATCCATACATGTAACATTCTATGGACTGAACAGGTTGTACTTAGGAATAAATAAGTATATACATATTCACACACAATAACAATTAGTGAAATAAGAAGCCATGAATTTGAAGGAGAGTGTGAAAGGGCATATGGGATGATTCTGGAGAGAGGAAAGGGGATGGCGTAATGTAATTATATTAATCTCAAAAAAAAAAAACTAAGGGCCCTACCTTCATTGACGTCACATTCTGGGGCGCTGGGGGTTGGAACTTCAGCATATAGGGTCCCAGTTTAGCCTTTGTTCTGTACATGCAAATATCCATGTGTGGATCTGGTCCAGTAGTGCCCATGCCTCAATGTTGCCTCTGCAGTGTGCTGTGCTCTACACGACCATCGGTGGCCAGCGACGACTTCGGATCCACAATCTCGCCTTAAACTGCAGCACCCAGCTAGCAGACCTCTACAAGAGCTGTGAGACAGATGCCCTCATCAACTTCTTTGCCAAGTCAGGTAGCATCTTGCTAGTCTCCTCGCTCAGGGATTCAGTCGAGACTCGTTGGGTAACTAGTCAGAAGCTGGAAAATACGGAGTGATACAAGAACCAGTAAAGTCAAAGGTTGAAGACTTGTCAGTGCCGTCAGCTGTAATGAGTGACAAGCCTCTCCAGGGCCAGGCCACACAGATCTGCCTTAAGTGCCCTTGCTAATAAGGAGGATACGGTGAAATTTAAGAGTGTGTGAGTGTTACCTCTAGCACTGGTGCCTCGCACCAGTGTTGATTGTCTGTGCCCTGACCACTGAGAAGCAGTGGTGATTTCTTTGGCTTCTCTGAAAAGTCTATACTTAAGGTATGGAGGAGAGTGTTTCAGTCTGTAGAAGTCAGGACCCTGGAAGACAACAGGCTGGCCTGGCTTTTCTGTGTATAGAAGTCTATTTCTAGTAATTTCAAGATAAATCTGGGTCGATGTAACCATTAGCTATAATTAGACCATCGTCCTTCATTACCTGGATCATCCTATTTACTGAAAAGTGGGCCAGCAGCAAGAACCTTATCCTTGTCTGGTTGTCTCACAATAACAGCAACTTGTTCTTTGATATTATTTGAAGAGATCAGTTTCTAAAGTGTGCTTTCTATTTGGGATTTTGCACTCCTAGCTTTTAAAGCAGTTTTGAACCAGCCTTTGAAGGTCATCCGGGAAATTCTAGTTAATCAAACTGCCCATATGCTGGCGTGTTACAGGAAGCACTGTGCCAGTCCATCTGCAGCAAGCCAGGTGAGTTCCCTACTGTGCTGAGCAGCCAGCATGTGCAGAGCAGTGTGTGCCGCTGCTGCAGCCAGATGCTCCAAAGTAGGGCGTGCAGTCAAGGAAACTAAGGATGCACCTGGGATGTGAGGGCATGTATGTGTCCTTGTAGCCAACATCAGAAAAGAAGCTGGGCTTAACAAAGTGCCCGAACAAAAATGTGACAGTCACAACTACACTGTTATAAACAGAGGAATGTTATAATAAGACAGGACTCTCTTTATATGCAGACCTATATGTTTTATTGTGAAATGGATATGCTTTAATTTTAGGCATATACAATGTTGCCATGAACTGACAGCAGTAGTAACAATGGCTCTTTTAAAAGTAAATATAATTTATAACATAATTGCACACAGGCAAACACACACACACACACACACACACACAGAAACACGTATTCAGGTATAAAAAGAGAAAGCTAATAATAGGGCAGACTCATGAAACAAATGTTTTCTCTTTCAGCTTATACTGCCAGATTCCATGAAAGTACTGCCTGTGTACATGAACTGTTTGTTAAAAAACAGTGTGCTGCTCAGTAGACCAGAGATCTCCCCTGATGAACGGGCATACCAACGGCAGCTGGTCATGACCATGGGTGTGGCTGACACCCAGCTCTTCTTCTATCCACAGCTCCTGCCAATAGTAAGTGAGCAGTGACTGAGTTCCCTAGAGCTGTTTGGCAGGGTAGACTCTTGTTTCTAAGAAATTCAGTCAAGACGTGCAGTCTGGGCTCAGAGTAGAAACTCTCTCAGCAAGTTGCATGTGCTCAGTGTGCCTGGGGAAGAGTGTGGGGAGTCTGTGTTCACTGAATTGTTCAGATTGCTTTCCTTTCTGTGCCATTCTTAAATGATAATAATCAGTTAAGTAGGCACTCTTAGAAGTCTGTAAACACGTGGGTGCCAGATAACTTGAATCAAACTGCGCATCACACAAGACCACTTCCAAATGTGCTGGGGAAATCTTGTGCAGGTGTGAATGGCCCGTTCTAATCTAGTGTGTGAGTGTCTAAGAGTCACCAAGTTTATTCAGACTGGCTTTTCTCAAATGCAGTCAGGGACTTGAGTGAGCACTTGGGGATACTGGTGTCATGCAAGAGTTCGCAAAGCAGAATATTCCACGTTGTTGAGGTATTGTCAACATTCTGAATGCCAGGCTGGTAGGCTGCATGCAACTCCTCCTTAGTCTTAGCGGTAAGAAACAGTAGGCACTCAGCAATAATGCAGTCAGTGATAAATTGTGTTAGATGCCAGGGTAAGAAATGAATTCTTTCAAATGATTGATTGTCAAATAAACTTGGATTGTCAGCAATGGGTGGGCCAAAGAGGTCAGAAACTAAAGCCTCTGGAAGCTTCTTTCCTACCTTCATTCCATCCCTTAGAGGTCCTTGTATTCTGGGCTTTAGATGTCATTTATTCAGTAATGGCCGCACATTCCTGTCTCCATTGGAGGGCTTCTCCTACAGCCTCCCTCCTCCTGCCTTCATGCTCTCTGGGTGGAAAGTCTAGGCCATCCTCACTGTTTTCTCTCTGCCGTACCTACTGTCAGCAAACAGGCCAGCTCTCCTGGGGTGTCCACTTTTTGTCCATTCTGTGTTGTCACCGAACTCAAGCATAATCTTCGCTGTACTCCTGAAGTCTCAGCCTAGTGACTCTCCTTGTTCCCACCATTGTCTCTTCTTCAGGACAGAGTGAGGCAGCAGCCCAGCTCTTCTCTCCTCAGGCCAGTCCAGGCCAGTCCAGGGCAGCTCTGGCCCCATGCTGTCCCTTCTCAGCTCCTTCCTATCAGAGTCTCTCATTTTAGCTAGCTGCACAAGCCCTCTGCTGATCCTCAAACACCCTGGTCAGGCTGTTGCCTCAGGACCTTTATATAGATTTTTCTCTGTGTCTGGAATGCCTTCCTTAGATTTCCCCAGGCTCAGCTCCTCACCCTTTCTTACCTCAAGTAGCTTTACTCAAAATTTACTGTTGCCAGAGAAGCCTTCCTAGCTACCCTGCCCCCACCACTAACCCTGATGCTACTCTCCATTTGCTTTCCACATCCCTTAGCGACATCTATAGGTATGCATATTTATTTATTTTATGTCATTTGTCTTCCTCCAAAAGGCCATTAGCTGCACAAGGCCGAGATTCTTGTCTACGTTAAGAAGGTTTTAATTAACTGTGTGCTGTAAGGGAGGGACAGGGCAAAGAGAAGGAAATGAAAAGCGGGAAAGGAACAGATTCCTAAGTCTCTCGACTTTGCCCAAACAGCACACATTAGATGTGAAGAGCACAGTGCTGCCGGCCGCTGTCCGCTGCTCCGAGTCCCGACTCTCTGAAGAAGGAATATTCCTGCTGGCTAATGGTCTGAACATGTTCTTATGGCTTGGAGTGAGTAGCCCACCAGATCTGATTCAAGGAATATTTAATGTGCCATCATTTGCACATATCAACACAGATATGGTAGGTGTTTTTCAATTTTTATGATAAAGTACAAATATAAATTCTTAAAATTTATGTGCAATTTTGTGATACAAAGAAAACCAGTTTCATATGGTTCTATATGAGAATCATATTTTGATGAATTAAAAGTAGAAAATGTAAAAAAATTTATTGAAGTGTTAAACTAAACATGGCTTCAATAGAAACTGCTAATATAGAGGGCTGGAGAGATGGCTCAGTGGTTAAGAATGCTTGCAGAGGACTGGAGTTCAATTCCCAGCACCCACATAAGGTAGCTTATAGCTGCCGGTAACACCAGCTCTAGGGGATCTGATATCCTATTCTGGCCTCCATGGGCACCTGCACATATGTGACATATGCAGACAGACAGACAGACACACACACACACACACACACACACAATACACACCCACTGACAACACTCACAGATTCCCTGCTGTCTGCCAGTGGCTACTGGCCATGTGTACTTTAAACCCACCGTTTTGTTTCATTCTCTTGACACGTCAGTGAGGTAGATGCTGCAGCAGTATGTTCCTGATGAACCAGGGGCAGGTTCTTGCAGGTGATAAGGTCAGAGATTGCATTTAGTTTTCAACTCCAGTTTCTTAATCCTTGCTGCTGAACTGCCTGTTTGAAAAAATTTTCAGAATCATTCAGAGAGACTTAGTTTGCTATATACTAAGATTAATGAGGCACAAAATAAAAAATCACACAAAGCAAATTGTGTCCCCAATCCTACCTTAAGCCCTGACTCTCCCCTTCCATAAGTCATGAAAAAGGAATTGTGTTGATGAAGAAATGAATACAAATACCTATTTTCAAATATCTTAGGAAAACTCAGCACCAATGTGAGAGTTAACATTTGCTGCAAACCTTCTTGCAGGCCCTAAGTGCACAACGAAATAGGGGTGTCTCCACCACAGAGCATGAGTCCAGGGCTTGTGCTTTTATAACTATACCTCCTCGCTGGTTTTTTTTTTTAAATGAAACAAAACCAACCTCCAAATAGGATTACTTAATTTTTAAGTAATTTGGTACTCTGAGATATGTGTTATATACTTAATATTATTTCTTGAACAAAATGATCCACCATAATGCCATAAAGCACACAAGGGATGGGGTGTGGGCATTAGTGATAGATGCTCTGCCCTCCTCAGAACTCCTGTGAAATACATCCGCCATACTCTTTCCCCTAAGATTGGAATCTTTACCTGCATGCATCCTCATCCTCCCTGGTAGCTAACTCATGTGTTGATTGGATCTTGGTATCTTCTCACTGAGGAGGCAGCATTAGCATCCTACATTCTCTTACATCAAGAACTCCAAGTGAAGCTGTGCTGTCTTACAAACTACACAGTTGTCATGCAAGAGGTAGCATTTCCTTGGGGAAAATCGGCACTTGCTGGTTAATGTTGGAACTCGTAGCATTTCCCAAGCAAAGTAAAGGGATAGGGACATCTTTTTCTCTCCCACCATGGCCTTGAAAAGGCTTAATCACCTTCCTGAAAGATGGTCCAAAGCTACCCTCTGCATTACAGGGTTGATCTGTATTCCCAAAAGAGATAATTGGTTCGTTGGCAGAAATGTACGCCAATGAGTAATTGATAGCTCAGTTTCCCATGGTTTCAGGTAAATGTCCTGAGCCAATAGTCTCTATAGCATTAGCAGGTCAATTTTAGCAGACTGGTCACCTCATATTGCTGTGGCTCTAAGTGCCTCAAGTTGTACTGAAATTGTGCGCTTCCATTTAGACATCACTGCCTGAGGTTGCAAGTCCACACTCTCAACAGCTCCGAGTGATAATGAACAGTATCCAGCACAAGAAGCCATACTCAATGAAGGTAACACGAGATTTTCCCTCTTCCTTCAAGTGTTTATTTCATCAGAAATCTTTTAAATGCATCATCTACAGTTATAGATCATGGTCCTTGATAGAAAAACTCTACCTCTGAATTTGTCTGACTACTTACTAGGCACAGCACAAGAATAAACAGTTTTGACCATGGGTTATCTTACTAGATAGCAACTTAGTGATCATGATGGCTTTCCTTGTGTAAAAACAACTGCTGTCATTAACAATCTTTGGAATCTTTCCTTTTCATGCCTAGTGTTATGTAATCATAGAAATATTCAGAACATTTGTAAAATGTTTTGTCCTGTATCTGAAAAATTTTACAATTATAGTTACCCTCAACCATTTTATTATTTCCTGTTTGAATAAAATCATGCCTTGAATCCAACATTAGACTTTGTTGTCGAATCCAAGCTGCTTGAACCCATCTCTTTTAGATGCAGGCCTCCACATGGCCCAGGCTACCATAAGGCCAGTTTTCTCTTGAAATATAAAGTGGTTACCAATCCTAAGCAATAATCTTAGTCACTGAAGTAACTCCTGTGGGCAGATATCAACTCTAAGTAGAGCTGAGGTAAATGGAAGTATAACAGTTTTACAGTCTCTAGGCATCTGGATGAACACTTGACATTCCAGAACTGTTTCCATGCCATGTGGGCGCTGTGCAAAGGCAGGGTCTGGGGCTGGAGAGAAGCTCAGGTACTCGACACGGCACTCACTCACCAGTCTTGGCGGACGAACATCATCAAACCTTAAAGTCTCAAGAAACACACACTTGGAATCAGTATACACTACACGGAGAGTTTACCATCTAATGATTCTTGTATTTATAGCACATGCCAATTAGGACTCTAAGCACACGGCAGTTGCTACACTAAGGGCAGTGCAGTCTGTTGCCACGAGCAGCAGTGGTTCTGTTTTAGTCTCTTTCTCATATCTACTCCTTTTCCTCTCTTCCCTTTCTCGTCTTCTGGCCACCCCCCACCTCCACCTGCAGCCATTCTCTGTAGTGACCTCCATTTCACTAATGTACCTGCTGCTACCTGTTGACTCTCATTTCCTGCTCTGCCCTCACATACCGTGTCCTGCAGAAGGCTCAAACTCATAATGGTAGTTGTCGCTAATCCCTTGCTACCTTCTAAATGTCTGTAATAATTTGCATGACAGCTGTCTCTGTATCTCTGCAACATGGCACAATATATACACAAGTCTGACCTACCCTGTTCTTTGAGACTTAGGGGACAGTGATTGCCATTGTGAAGCTTTTTCCCATTCTACTCTATTACTGTAAATTTCCACTTCCCTAATTTGCCACTTAAAATTGTCTTTGTGGTTTAAATGTTAGTGTCTCTCTCCTCTCCTAAGTAATAGGCATGGAGCTGGAGAAATGGCACCTACTGCTCTTCCAGACTCAAATTCTGATCCCAGTACCCACATTGGGTGACTCATGACTGCTTATAACTCTGGCAACAGGTGATCTGACACCCTCTCTTCTGGACTCATTGGGCACGTGCACTGATTTGTACATTTACACACACACACACACACTTTTAAAAACCTACAGAATCAGGCATGCTGACATCATCACACAGGCCTCACACCCCTACCCTGTTTGGTAGGATTAATCAGGGGAAATCGCTGGACCAAATCTGGGATGCGTATCTAACCAGCTGTTGTTGGGTTTTACTAGCTCATCATCGTGAAGCAGCGAGAGCCGCGGGAGATGGCTTTCCGACAGTTCCTGGTGGAAGATAAAGGACTCTATGGAGGATCATCTTATGTGGATTTCCTCTGCTGTGTCCACAAGGAGATCTGTCAACTGCTTAACTGAGGAGTACCCTCCTCTCCCACTGAGGGGGCATTTCTGAGGAGACCGTCTCCAACCTGGTGCCTAATTTCCCCAATGATAGTAGGCTAGTTTTAATTTCTTGATAATTTTCAGGATAGCTTGCCAAGACAGCACATAGACCTTCAGCTTTGGTGCTCGGGTAGCAAGCCCGTGAAGTGTGGTGGTACCATAAAGGGAACAGTCTATTTCTGGCTGTCCTACTTCTAACTTCTAAAGCTGACAGTTTGCATTTCATAAATACATAGTTTACAGAACCATTCACTGTCTCAATTTTCTTTCTTTGTGCTAGCTAGATATATAAATTATTTTTCAAACTGTATAGATTCATGTTTCCTCTTACTTTTGCCATGAGAGGAAAAAGATTTCATTTTGCCTTACACCTAATGTTTTTAAAGCTCTGTGACTACATTGAACAGATTTTTTTTTCAACTTAAAATCTGCACAGCAGACTTTAAAAAAAAACCTGTAATCTGTCTGGTAGAACAATTTGTATTCACCTTTTTTTCATAATTATATAGTCTGTTTAAAATATTTTCCAGTTGTTTTGTCTATAAAACAGTATCTATATTCTTAATGGTTCTTTGTACAATTTTGATGGTTTCTACTTGTATATAATGGATCTTAACCAGTATCAATAAATTACTTAATGTACTCTGGCTATTTTTTATGTCTTCTGAAAATCTAAAAAGAAATAAGGATAATACTAAAAATACATGGCAAAAACTCCCAAACTGAATGGTTTACTGAGAATATATCTGGATAAAAACATTATCGCTGTAAAGGGGTCAGTAGCATCTGTCAGAAACACTCCTTGAAAGGGGCATTTATAATTCTTGACTATGACACATCTTAGTCATAGCTGCTTGTGCCTGGGGGACTCTGCTCTTGGTATCTTGTGTTAAGTTTCCTTCACTGCACATACATAGTGATGAATAAATAGTTCTCTTGAACCTAGGAGAATGGCTTTGAATGGCCCCTGACCATGTGTGCCTTCCCCAGCTTCATCAGAAACATGGTATGTGGTGACTGCTGTATGACAATGGAGCACACGCACCTCCACTGTCTCCTGGCCATTTCCGCACTCGGCTTAAACTTCCTGTTAGCTTCCTTTACACAGGAAGACAGCCTTGTGGCAGCTCAGTACGTCATCCGTGAACACGTGGCTAGGAAGGATCATTAATAGGTTGGTGGATGCCATGAACCGAGAGTAACAGATATATACGCTGACCTCGTAAAATGCCTTTGTGCTAGCTGACAATTCAGATTGACTTGGATATGTTTAACAATGGAGATGTTTATGGAAAGCAGGTCAAAAAACTTAAAGGCGTTTGCCATGAAGAGAAGTGGGATGAAAGCGAATGCGGCCTCAGTACAGAAGCAGCTAAGGGACTGAGGGACCATGCTGCAGCCCAGCAGGGTGACCGAGTACAGTCCCTGGAGCCAACGCAGACTTATTGCTTCCACCACTAGCTGTGACATCAGAGTATCTCAGTTGCCTAATCATTTGCTAGCCCCTCCCATGCTCTCCTTTCTCTCAGGCATTCTACTGTCCGTTATTCACAATGCAAGCTACCTTTTCCATTTAGGCTATCATTAGAGACATTTGATTGAACCACCATTCTTTATTAATTTAAATAAAGAGCAAGCAAGACCTCTGAAAGACAGTATATCAGTGAAAACTACTTGCTTTCTCGTCCTCAGGGATGATACTCTTAAGACAGAAAAAAAGCATCGGTGAAGCAAAACACATCTTAAAAAAGGGTATTAGAAATTCCCAAGGGACTGGAGAGATGGCTTAGAGATTAAGAGCTCTGGCTGCTCTTCTAGAGGGTTCAGTTCCCAGCCATTTGTAGCTCAACTATTGAGCTAAAATAGTTGAGAATTGAGACGATCCTCCAGACACTAGGCACGTATGTGGTGCACATATATTTATGCAGGCAAAAACCTTAAACTAACACAGAAGTGTCTAGTTAAAGCAAATGGCTAAGACTTACTACTCAGAGCTTAGATGCCTGAATAATAAGCGCAGGAAGAGTAGATAAAGGCAGTTATCAGATGAAGCAACAAGCTCTTCATTTGAATAGAGCTCAGTGAAGCAACCACAACTGGGAACAGTCCCCTAACATTCAGGTGCTGTCCTGACTCATATCTTATCACGATGGAGTTGAAACTTAAGATTTAAGGAGCATGCTGGCTGACAAAATTACTATCTACACTGTTCTCCAAAAGGAGAGTTTCACTTTAGGTCAGGTCCTTTCCATTTGATAACAACAATTATTGTATTTAAGGAAAACAAACTCAATTTCCAAGTTTTAAAGTTTTATTAGAAAAGTTATAGCAAAATAAAAAAGAAGTTACCAAGAGCAATAAAGGCATTATCTCATCCGACATATCCAAATCCATTCAAACATGAATTAAGGTGTGGAAACGCAACAGCATGAAGCTTTCCAAGCCAACAGCCCCGTGGAGACAAATGCACCACACGGTGTTACTGAACGGCAACTGCAGTTCCATCTTCCAAGCTGTATTCTTGAGGGTTTTCTGTAATTGCTTTTACATAGCAACTTTAAAGATGTATGTCATTTCCTCCTCACCACGCATTTACTCTAAAATGTTTAAACCGACCCCTCTCCTAGCAAATCTGTTTTCACCTTTGTTAAGAAACATGAATTGTCTTGGAAAACCAATACAAGATCAAGTCCACACCACAGTCCTCCAACTTGGGTATGTGCCTCCTTTTGCTTCTTAGGAAGCATGATTATGAGTCATCTGTAGTTGTACAATTTACATTATGATAAGCTTCTGCTTTGGTTTTTAAATCTCCTAAGTTCTACCTCTTCCTTTACCTACCTAAGGGCTCCAGCACCCCTCAGGTTCTGGAAGGAATTAATTTCATTTCATCTCTCAGTCTTCAGTACTCAAATGATGCTTCAAGTGATTTTAGGATTTAAAAGTAAGGGGGAAATGGTTTATATCTTTTTAGTGTTTCAATAAGAAAATGTTAAAGACGCCAGAGGCTCACCACCTGTCCCAAGACTGTTCTACCCAGGTTCCCAGTGCTGTGGCAAGGGAAACAGCACTGACTCCTGCCATATTCCTGAGATGCAGAAGTAACTGCTCACCTGTTTCCAAGAGGCCAAAGCCTCGGATGCAATCAGTCACGTGAGTATCTGAGTGTTCCATTCTGTCCCACTGCATGAATGTGACTCACCTACCCTGAGCAGAACTGCAGTCCCTGTAACAACTGCAGGGACCTTGGGGATAGGGGTGGGGGTAGCTAAGGTCTTTCTGGCAGTATGAGAAAGTAAAGCAAAGTGCAAGCTGGGAGTGAGTTCTAAAGTAAGTCTCACAATAGAAACCAGAGGGGACATTGTTAAGTGTCTTTAAGCTACCGAGGCGGAAAGCCACCTCTGTGTGTGCCTCCGCGACCTCCCCTAAAGCCACCTCTTTCTCCTCGGAAATTCGATCGATTTCTTTCACGACCACGTCCAGCAGATGTTCCCCCTCTCCCGCCACCTCTGGGAGCTCCACCACCACGGTCAGACTTGGATTTTGGAGGAGGCGACTTTGGTCTAAGCCTCTCGATTTCCTCTGTACATCCAGTCAAGTACGAATTGGGAGCACTGAAATAGGATGCGTATGTTTCTGCATTGTAGTTACTATTTGTAAGTGTTGGTCCAACTGTGAGCCAGCCTGGAATAAAAGGGGGAAAAACAGATGAGACTTTCCATCTTCTTTCTCTTTTATTGGTCCTATAGGGGCTAGTTCAAATTCTCAAGACATTCTTTTCTTTTTCTTTTTTTTTTTTTTTTTTTTTTTTTGTTTTTGTTTTATGAGACAGGGTTTCTCTGTATTGTTTGAGACTGTCGGTCCAGCCCGGCCTTGAACTCACAGAGATCCGCCTGCCTCTGCCTCCCGAGTGCTGGGAATAAAGGCGTGCGCCACCACCGCCCGGCTCAAGACATTCTTAAAGATGGCTCAATTATCCACAAAGCTACCATCTCTGTTATATAATGCACAATACCCATGGTCATATGTAAAAGGTTTCATATGCACATACCTCGCTTCTTATCCTAGATATAGTTTTTATGAACTATCATCCTCATTGCTTCCCATTCATGTACTATATTGTTAGAATACCACCAATAAAAAATATTTTAAGATATAATAAGTTAGCTGGGTGATGGTGGAGCACGCTTTTAATTCCAGAACTCAGGAGGCAGAGGCAGATGGATCTCTGTGAGTTCGAGGCCAGCCTTGTCTACAGTGAGCTCCAGGACAGCCAGGGCTATACACAGAGAAACTCTGTCTCAAAAAAAAAGTTTGGGTTGGGTTAAAATTTAATAAATAAAATTTAATAAAGATATATACATATACACACACATGTATCTTTCCTACTTATTTAAAAATGGGGCTGCTGTTTTCTCATTAAATATTGAAAAAAATTGCTTTTCTCTTAAAGTATACTCAGTTCAAGCACAGTGATGCTGCTTCTCACGCCATCTTTCCATGGGCAATGACTTTTCTCGAAAGATGCACACACACAGCCATGGATATGAAGATAATGTACACCACCATTAATAACAAGGAAATAAAACCACAATGAGGTATCATCTAACCCCAGTCAGAATGGCTATGATCAAAGGGAAAAGAAACTACTATGGTTGGAGGCTACAAAGAAAGGGGAACTCCCACGTGCTACTGGTGGAAATGTACACTAGAACAGCTATTATGGAACACAGTATGGAGGCTTCTCAAAAAGCTAGAATGAGGACTTCATATGACCCAAAGGTCCCACTCCTGGGGTACATATCTAAAAGAACTAAAACCAGACAGTCCCTTTGTTTATCATAGCATTATTCACATAAGCAGGATATGGAAGCGACCTAGGTGTCCACTGATGGATGAATGGATAAAGTAACTGTCATATATACACAAAAGAATGAAATTCTGTTATTGACTGTAATGGAACCGGAGGGCATTATGTTACCTGAAATAATTCCAGGCACAGAAAAACACCAACTATTTTCAGTCATAGGTAGAAACAGCAAGTGCATCTAAAAGATGCAGAGACTAGAACAGTGGTTACTAAAGGCAGGTAAGAGCAAGGGAAGGAAAATGCACAGAAAGAACAGTAAGGTGTACGTGGCAATTGCATAGTAATGCAGAGTTTAACTGTGAGTGATAACTGAATATATCAAAATAGCAAAGATTTAGAATTTTCCCAACACAAAGAAAAACTGATCTGATGTGATGTGTATATATATATATATATATATATATATATATATATATATATATACACATACTTCAGTTACCCTGACCTTACCATACACGCGGACAGAAACATCACTGTAATCTAAAAATGTGCCAAAAACTAAGTGGAGCACCGAGGACTTTTAGGTAACACAAGTAGTCAGTGTAACATTACAATGATTGACATACACTATGACCACCTTATCTAAATCCGTAAACACTACCACCAACATCAATCCTAACATAAACTATGGCCTTTGTATAGTCATGCAAGGGATACTGACAATGGGGGAGGCAATGCGGGTGTGGGGCAGGGAGTGTATGGGAAATCTGCCTTCTCAGTTTTGCTACGATAAAACTGCTCACATGTGAAGTATAGAGAAGAGAAATCAAAT